CCCCCCGGAAGTAATGGGGTCAGCGACTTGTGTTCGATTATTGTTAATAATCCTTCCGTGTTTTTACTGAGGTACTGCGTCCTACTCGGGTCAGGTTGAATCTGGCAGACGAGGTTCACCGACGTCGGTTGTGTAGCGGTTAGGGACTTTGCTATCGCACGCAGGAAACCCGAGTTGATTCCCTAGTTGAGGTAACATTATTTGCACTTAGTATTTCGGTCTTTCTGTTGGAATGTTGTGGCTTTCTCAGTTAGTTTTAGCGCTGATAGGCAGTGTCAGAAGCCCGCTTTCTAAGCAATCTAAACTGTGTTAATGGAGGCGTAAAAACACCAATTTAAAAAAAACAGACCGTGGTCAAAGCAGCCCACATCCTGAAATACCTTAATTGTGGTATCGAAGGAGGCTTAATGCAATTGCAATTTTTTTTTACAGATTCTTTCATTCTTTACTTTTTGTTTGGGGTTAGAGGGATGGGACCTCTTTATACTCACATTTCATTAAAATAATACTATTGAGCGTGGATAACGGATCTCGCCTTTTTAACATGTGACTTTTAGTATCTTGTACCGGTACATGTACAGTCCATAGGGCCAAAAGGCCTAAATTTCACAGAGATGAACGAAAGGACAGCCTCGGTTGGACTAAAAAAACATGCAGCACCCCTAGGTCTTAAAAGAAATTACAGAAGAACTACTAGGGTGACTTTTTAAACGTATTCATCTTTATGCAATGAACAAATCGTTCGTTCTACACCAAAGTCAAAGTCAGTGGTGTAGGTACATAAGTAATGCGTGCATGTGTAATCAGCAGAGATCCAGCTCAACATGGGTGGTAAAGTAGATGTGCATAGTTGACAGATGCTGTGCATTTAGCAGACACGTTGGTACGGTGTGCATGAAGCTCTGTGGAAAGAAGATAAAATATCATAGCTTACACTATTCTGTTCGTAAAGAAAAAGATCGAACATTGCTAAGAGACCTGTTGCATTTTACAGAATTTCTAAACAAAGAACACTTCTACAGCAGACAGCAACACAACCACAAAGACATCTGTACGCCCCCCCTCCCCTGGCCTCTGGTATACAGTATAAATAGAATACAGATTTTGTAATTTCTTACTTTTGAGCTTCGCAAAAATTGTTTATAAAGAACAATCAAACAAAAATGCGTAGTAGTAGTTAATCAAATTGCCATACCCTGGCAAAACCCGAATGAACAACAAAAAAAGTCTAGGTTACACAAAATTCTAAAGGCCTAAGATGGTATAGTCTTTGGGAAGTCTGTGTGCAAACAAGCAACATTAAATCGCTTAAATGAAGACAATCAATTTCTGCTAGATACTGGAGTGCCATGTTGTTTTCACAAAGTACACAAGGACCAATACATTATCAGAAGTATAAAAAGCTGATGTATTTCGCTACAGAATAAAGCATCTTTGCAATTCTTGAATGCTTTTTTAAAGAGTACAATGAAACTTTAAAGAGCACACTCGATACACATAATGTTAACGCTTCTTACTAAAATGCCACTCCAAACGTTACACATCTTCTACTCCAAACTCCAAACGTAACGTTTCCTGTGCCTTTGTGGCACCGTTGTCTTTTTCTTTTCTTTCACTATACGGATCAAACTCTTCCCAATTCATAGACTTACCCTGTTGGTAGTGCTCTATGCACTTGATTGCACAACTAAGTACAGCGTTTGAAAAAGGATCTTTTCTCACCAGGCATAGAGCAACTATCTGTCTCTGCATGTGCCTCTGTATTGATACTGAAAATCCTGTTGCTGTTGTATTGTTAAAGTCTTTTCTTATATGTTAGTTAACTTGATTATAGTGAACCCTTGTCAGAGATGAAGTTGGGAAACCAAACAAATCAAGTGGAATAACAACTTACGGGAATACTCGTTTTAGTAGGGTGCTCGTATCGTGGGGAACCAAGGTTGGTATTCATGGCCCATCCAAAACCGTTGAGTTCACCCCCGTTGTAGAGGAGGAAAACTGGCAACATTTTGTTACAGTCCATGTTTTTGTCTTTTGTCAAACTGTGCCAGTAGTGTTTTCCTGGAAATAAGAGGAAACAGGCACACGAACAACATATTAGATTCGTCGGAAACATCTCTGATTACATTTTTCTCATAAGAGCTACAACTATTGCATTTACAGATGGTATCAATCACAGAACATAACTCTTTCATTGAAAATGCACTCTAATCATGAAAGGCTTCTGACATTTTGTGCCGGTAAGGGCTTGGGGTGGGGTAGGTGGTAAACGCATTATCTGATAATCGTGTTACCATAGAATGTAATGACTTGGGTCAATAGCAACTGATCCATCACGGTACTTCTTGTTAGGTCATTAGCACATTGACGCAGATGCCATAATGGCTGAAATTTGTCCTTTGTGGACCCCTCCCCCCCCCACCCCGGAACAAAACAAA